AACTATAAATCTAATTAAAAAAAGGTTAACTTCAATCGGTTGATGCTTCAGTCAAATTGAATCAATCCAGCAACACGGGAAGACCTTCAAGCCTCCGATGATATCTTTCCAAAGTTATAAAAATGACTTTGAGGATTAATGGTGAGAGCCTTCTACTAACAAATTTGATTATTATATTGTTCTTTCCCTCATTTCATCCGTTCTTCAAGGATTTCCAGTTCGTCAAATCTTCTTCAAGATGGATTTCCATTAATCTCTCTTCTTCAGGATGAAATTCACTAATACTTTGGTATAATCGAGGACCTCTAGCACTTTCTCTAGTAGCATTTCAAATCCGTAGTAGAATTCTTCACAACACAAGAAAATTATTTATGAGATATTTATGATTATCAATATTAAGCCTTATTTGTGTCAGCATAATCATGTTAGTCAATTATTTTGTCATTTATTCTAATTTATAATTTTTTTTTCAATTTTATCATTGATCATACCAGATATGATTGCCATTTTTTACATTTGAGACTTGAGTAGGGTTAGAATGTCTATGAATATTTGCTACAAATATACATAGTAAGCCCTAGGATGTAAATTATTCGAGTGATGATGGAACTAAAAAAGGGCTTTCCACTAGCATACCTTTTAGGGGATCAGCTCTTCTCTTTGGCTCTTAGCCTTGAAGCTCTTCCTCCATTTCCTCTACCTTTTGCCACCCTCTTCTTGAGGCATTCATTCATCTCTTCTTCTCAATCTCTCCTATTTAGTATTTACCTCCATTTTTCCTCTTCTGCACTAGATTTTTCTCCTCTAAATAATCAGGTACCAAAAGTCCATGGTGATATTTGCATTTGCTTCCCCATTCATCATCACATGCTGACAACCATGATTTGTTATAATATGACATTTATAGCATCTATGTGGGTTTCCATCATTTAATTCCACTTGGGGTTTTAAGTTATGCTTGTGGGAAAAGAACACTTTTTTGATAGAAGATTACTTTAATCAGAAAGTCTCTTTCTGCTGTTAATAGGATTTCCTCCTAATTCCACACCTATAAAAATTACTTATATCAAGCAACACATTAGGCTCTCCTAGTAATTAACCAAAGCAAATGGGAAATTATATGCCATTCTAGATCACTCACAATTATATACTTTTTCTTCTCCCCTCACTAAGATACCAAGAAATGGGCTTATAAGAGAGTTGCTCAAATGGACTAAACAAAAACGGTTGGACCATATAGCATTTATTACTACATACATTCATGCATTAGGTTATTGTTGTGATCATTAGGCATACAAATTTACTAAACAGTTAGCTTTTTCCCTTTAAATACTGAAAGCATATAACCAACTACATTAAATAGCACAATTTTTTTTAAATTCATGTAAAGATAACTATTTTCTTGTGATTATTATTTGGACAACATAACATTAATTTTTGATGCAATAAATGACCGTAATATCCAACTTGAATTCTACTAATAACTTAATATTATGCTTCTCTTTTAATGGCCAACATTTTGCACCATAAAGCATTACAGGTCTCCCTACCATCTTATAGAATTTTCCCTTAAGTTTGAGAGGGACTTTTCTATCACACAACAAGCCCCATGCGTTCCTGCACTTCAACCATTCAACTATAATTCTACAAATAATATCCACATCTATTTCACAATCACTCTAAACAATAGACCCAAGATATCTAAAATGTATGCTCTTATTAATGATTTGATACCCAAAGTCACAATCCCCACACTAGAACTATTATTACTAAAATTACATTCCATATATTCAGTTCTAGATCTACTCAAATGAAAACCTTTAGACTCTAAGGCTGACATCCATAATTCAAGTTTACCTTCAACTCCCTCTCTAGTCTTATCAATAAGAAGAATATCATAAGCAAAAAGCATAAACTATGATACAACCTCTTGCAAATTTCTAGTGAGAACATCCAAAACTAAAGCAAAAAGATATGGGCATAAGGCTGATCCTTGATGTAATCCAACTGAAACAGTAAAATACTTAATAAAATCATCTTGTGTCTAGACACAAGTAACAACTCCTGCATATGTATCTTTAATGACTTGAATATAAGCATTATTAACCATTTTCTTTTCTAAAACTCTTTATAGCACTTCTCTTGGAACTTTATCATATGCTTTATCTAAATCAATAAAAATCATATGTAGATCCTCCTTATTCTCTCTATACTTTTGCATCAAACCTCTCAATAAATGTATAGCTTCCATAGTAGACCTACCTAGCATGAATCCAATTTGATTTTGAAAAACATTAGTGTCACACCGCAACCTATGCTCCAATCTCCATAACTCTCTCCCATAATTTTAAAGTATAAAACATTAACTTAATTCCTCTATAATTCACACAATCTTATGCATCACCTTTATTCTTAAAAATATAAATCAACACACTCATTCTTCGCTCATATGGCCTCTTTTTAATCTTCAAAATAGTATTAAAAAATTTAGTAAGCCAAGAAATTCCTTCATCTCCTAAGCATTTACACACCTCTATTGGAATATCATCATGTCTAACAGCTTTTTCTTACTTCATTTTCTTTAAAGCTTCTTTAACTTTAATTTTAATAATACGTCAATTAAAAAAAAAACCTTTATTTTCATTTAGGATGGGTGCTAAGGTCACCAAAGTTAATCACATTCTCATAATCTTCATTGAAACGTTTAGCGAAATATCTCATGCACCTTTGTTGAATATCCTCTTCTAATAAAAGCACTCTTTGATCTTCATCCTTAATACATTTCACTTGAACTAAATCCTTACTACTCCCATCTCTTTGTTTAGCTAACTTATACATATATCTTTCACCCTCCTTAGTATCTAATCTATTATATAAATCATCAAAAACTAAAATTTTTGTATGACAAATTGATTTCTTAGACTCCTTATAGGCCTCTTTATATCTTTCTCAATTATCAGACAGTTAAACCAATTTTTATTACAATTCCTCTTATTTTTTATCTTTTTTTGCATATTTTGATAACACCACCAACTATTTTTACAATTAAAAATTTTTACCTTTGATACTCCAAGCATATATTTTGCAACATTCTTAATATCATTGGCTATTTTTTTCACATAATATTAGTTTTCTCATGCACAGACAAAATCTTAAGATCTAAAATTTCTCTCAAAAATATTTTTGTTAATATTCTTTAAATGCCCCTATCTAATTCTAGAACAACAATTTACTTTATTTATTTATCTTCTGCCCATTTATCTTAAAGTCTAAAACTAATAAGCGATGTTTGGTACATAAACTTTCACTCAAAATAACTTTACAATCTTTGTAATCTAAACAAACTATTTTTCTTATAAGAAAATAATCAATCTGAGTTTTATTATATCCATTCTTATAAGTGATAAGATGTTCATCTATTTTTTTAAATAAGGTATTAGCAATTACAAAATCATAAGCTAGGGAAAATCTAATATGGACTTCCCACTTTCATTAGTTTCTCCAAGTCATAGCCATCATGAATGCTTTTAAAATCATCTACCTCTCTACCAACATGTTCATTTAAATCTCCTCCAATAAAAACTCTTTCTTCAATAGCTATTTTCTATATTAATTCTTCTAAGTCATTCCAAAATTTTAATTTTGAATATATATCCAAAACTACTTGAGGAGTATAAAGGCTTATAATATTAATAATCTTAACATCAACAAAAATCTTTGAAGCTATAATTATATCTCAAATTCTATTAAGTTTTACAATATTATCCTTCAAACTCTTATCTATAATCACACATACACCATTCTACGACTCCCATTAGAATACCATAATTTAAATCATGAACTATCAATCTCATTAGTCTTCTCTCTAACCCATTTAGTTTCCTGAATGCATGGAATATTTACCTTCATATGGATCATAATATCTATTAGTTACATTAATTTACTTGTAAGAGAACCTATTTTCAAAATTTCTATCCTAATTTTAGTTTCATGGACTAACTTCTTTGCCCACATATGTCTATAACGTGAGAACTCTTACCTATTTAACACTGCATCCTTGTGTCGGTGCAGTGACCCTTGCTCACTTGTCACTGTATTCAGACCATTCAACGCGTCGCTTCCAGGGAATGCCTTAACATTAACACAATGTATTAAAAGATTCATGTCATGATTATTCGACAAATTTTATACTGGTTATCGACTACCTAACGCAACCATCCACTTTTCTCATCCAGGACTTGGGACCTGGCAACGACAGTGTTTATAGATAAGAGTTTGAAGGGAAAAAAAAAAACTACAAGCTTGGAAGTTATACTATTTTCTACCATGCCTTTCAAGTTTTCAGTTAAACTATTGCACAACAATCTTATTTGGGTCGTAAAATTTTGATTTCAACTAAAATGAAGCTTCTAAATAGTAAATACTATACACGTTGGGGTGGTCATGACTATCATACTATGCTCGACTACAAGTTTGTTATTATTTTTATTTATTTTTATATATGATTATAGGTTGGAAGTGGGTTGTCTGTCACTTTCTCACTTTCCCCCAAAAAAACTATCTTCCTATATCTATTCCAAAACTGCATGAATGCAACTACGCCTACTTGAAAAATCAGAGGCCAAGCAAAAGGGATGATATATATTTGACCCATAGGTTAGGGTTATTAATGTGAAATCCATAGCGTGGCTAAGAAAGCAAAAAATTATCAAGTCTAATTGTGTTTATCAAAAGACATAATTGTGCTAGTTTTAGAATATCCTGAATATCTATTAGATTTTCATATAAGAGCTACTTTATTCTGCATAAATTATTTGTTTACAGGAGATACATTATTGTTAAGATTGATGAAAAGTGAAAAACTGTGGCAAATATCATGCCTTTTTTTCCTAGAAATTCATAAGGCAGAGAAATGTGATATTATTATCCTGTCCATAAAAATGCCACATTATAAAAGAGCAAGGAAGATAGTTACTTCAACTGACATCCCCAAGCCATACCTTGTAAGAAGAAATACTGCTGGGCAAGGGCCTTGTAAGAGATTCCACCAAAACATAAGAAAGAGAAACAAATAACATTAAGAAAAGTTAAAAATGGAAGTCTCTCAAAAAGAATAAACTCAATATTTTTTTTTAAACAAGCAATCCAGAAAGTCCAATTTTAGAAAGTTAGAAGATAACCATCAAAAGTGGAACTCGACATCTACAATTGCCCAAAGAAATTTAAATAAGTTATGTTGCATCACCATTATTTTACTCGATAGTGAGATTAGTAGTGTGGACTATTAAGCAGCTATCAATGATTCATTAGGTTTAGATAAACTTTCACAAGTTGGAGCCAACCAAAGGATTTGGAAATTGGCTGATATTAGTGTAACATATGTATGTTCTACTTTGAATATATGTTACTTAATAACATAATGTTGAAAATACGCTTACCCTATGTTAGTTAGCAGCAGCCAATGTGTCTAACAGAAGATATGTTCAAAATTCACCTATCCTGTGTGGACATTAAATGTATGGTATGCTTCTGTTGGTTTAGGGCTGAAGCAACACAAACCTATGGCCATTTACTTGGCATATCATGAGGAGCTTTTAATAATTATTATCCCTAATGAGTAAGGGTCACCTTCGTTTTCTCCTATTTTATCTGGATTGCAACAAATGATGCTTAAAGATATAAATTTTCTATCTCATGAATGTGGCAATCAAAAATTCAAAGAATGAAATCTAAAGTTGTCAGTGGAATCATGCCTTAACAATTTAAATCTCATATTCCCTCTTTGTCAGTTCCATCTTTCACTCTTATGACCTTCTTTGAGCTCTCTTCATCTTGAAATTAATTTGGATGAGTGAAATGATGATTTATGTAGCCCCAACTGAAAGTCTAGACCTTGCATTTGAAACAAGGAAAAACATTATTTTGAGCTATCTCATGCATCTAAAGTTGCTAGATCATGACTTCGATACTTCTGAAGTTGGGATTTCTACCCATCAATCTATTAATTCTTAGGTTTCTTTTCTTTCCATCTAAAGTTGCATTTAATTGGATTTAATTATAGTTTTCTTGAAGATTAATTTTTAACATACAATTAGGAAAACCGAAAATAAAATCCACATTTTAAATGATTGCTCAATTATCTAGCATTTTGGTGAATACATTTACTTAGTTTTGCTTAAAGTATGAGATCCAAACACTACTCCTAAATCAAAAATGGTTTTTGAACTTGGTTACATTCATGGTCAATCAAATCAAAAATGGTTTTTGAACTTGGTTACATTCATGGTCAATCAAAGCACAGACCTGCATCAAGATCAATTCTTCGTGAATGTGATATACATATTGTCTGGCTTGAGAGATCAATTAAATTTGAGGCAAATCCAGCATTTTTTTTTACAACAGTACACATACGGCTGTTAGGCAAATCCAGCAATATCAAATCTATCATGAACTCCAACTAGGGATTATGTAGGTTTACTAAAGGTGCCACTGCCATGATATTTGCAAAGCCTAATATGCTAGATCCACAAATTTTAGATCATGCTAGGGCCTTTCTGTGCCTTCCTCAAAAAACACAAGACAAAACACTCTTGTTCATGATGGAAAATGTGAAAAACTTTGGATAATTGCTACTTATGAGGTAATCTAACATGCCATCACCAAGAGTCCTCGCAGATTTCAACCAGCCAATTAGAGTTTTCATAAGCAAGTCCATGATGGAAACCACCTCATTCACCAATTGAGTATCTCTTTGGAGTTGAGCACCTTTATTAAGAGAAATAAGAGGTTCCAATGTTGCAATCACCACTAACACACAGATCAACATGTCTTAACATGTGAATAGTGATAAAAGCCAATGGCTCAGCCTCTTAGACTTAAAGAAACATGTTGAATCAAAATTGATCAGTTTCATCCGCATCAAACAGATTAAGAAGGTTCAATACTATAGTTTTCCTTCAATTTGTCTTGAATTGTTAATCAAATGACTAAGTTGAAGTCTAATTTGATTTCTTAAATGTCATATCATTTGATTTGGTTCACTCATTGTTCATGCTCAGTTCACCTATGCAGCCTAAAGTTTGACCCGATGGGGAGTTGATGGACCTAAAAGGATATAAATTTATTTGGTTAACTTGAGTAAACTATGCTTATTCCAATAAACCTATTTAGCCATTATTATCTCGTTGAACTGAAATGAATGAGCTTAAACCCACAACCAAATGTATTTATGAGCAAATAATATTTTCAGAATTTTTGTAACGTCGTATTAATTAAGTAATTTTTATTTTTAAGCTCATTCATGATAAAATTATTTTCTCTATTTCATTAATTTGAATTTAATTCTATTTTAGATTTTTTTTTAAAAGTATTCTAGCTATTTTTACAACCAAAAAAACCAATACTTAACAATGAAACTTTTGAAATCACCAAATCTGAAAATTACATGATGGAGATAAACTAAAAACTCAAATCGAGTTTAGAAACCTTAGCTACTTGACTAGTATAGAACCTTGAGGTTTCAAGTTCAATTTTATTTACAACAAAATATTTTATAACTTAGGATGCAACAACCAATACCTGTCAATGAACTTGTGCTAGTACATGAACCGGCCCAAAAATTTGCATTCTAGAGTATGCCAAAGCCTGCAAGTATGGGTGTCAATTTTGGGTCACGAGTCGGGTTCAGGTTGAACCCGAAACTGACCCGGCACTATTCAGGTCAACCCGAACCCAACCCGTTTTTGCAAACGGGTCGGTTTTCCGGACCCGAACCCGACCAGCTTCGGGTCCGGGTCAACCCGACCCTACCCGAATGAGCCGAGACAGAGAAAAAAACAGCTAGTTTTCGGGTCCAAAATGGGTCAAACTCCGCTTTTCGAGTCAATCTCGGGTTGTCGGGTCAAAACAGGTTTTCGAGTAAAAAACGATTCAATTTCGGGTCAATGGGTCAACCTGAACCCGACCCGATTTTTTAAATGGGTCGAATTGTTGAACCCGAACCCGACCCGTTTCGGGTTCGGGTCAACCCAAATCCAAAATTTTCGAGTCGGGTTTTCAGGTCGGGTCCAATATTGACACCCCTACATGCAAGCTCATCAACCAATTTATTAAGTGCAATCTTTGACTGGAATCAATCGTAAACCTGTGTGCCCGCCAACCCCATATGAGAATGCAATCCCAGCCTACTCAAGCTCATTGAACCACAAAGGCCATTTTCCCTTATGATATCAATATCGACCAAATAATTGACTAACAAAAACAAGAACCAGTATGGGTGAATTATGGCCGTATTGGTTGAAAAAAACTGAAGTTGAAACTGGTCGACCAGATTGTGCTGAGCAAAATCATCCATCAATTCTTGAAAAGTTGCCTTTAGCATTCATTAACAAAATAAAAAAATGCAACTTAATGTGCACAATTCTATCACCATCCTCCTTCATCAAAATTAAAAAAAAAAATCAGCTAAAAATTCCCACTATAAGAAATTGAAGCCCTGAGGCAAGGCTATGATACTAAAAATTAGAAACATGACTAAAAGGTTCTCATAGAAAAATGAAGTTCTTTATTTCATCCAAAAACAACTGAAGGCTAACCAGAACTTCTTGGTCAAACCTAGAAAACTAGTTACATCATTCTCGAAATCGTTCAATTTCACAATTTGTTCGGCTCTGCCTCCATAGATTCGAATCTTGATGATTAATAATATTAAGTTTACAACTATTATTACTTTAATAACAAATAAAAACTAGTATTTCTGGCAGTCCCTGTCCTTATTAAAAGTATTAAAAGCAAAATTATGCATAAGTGGATAAATTATTTTTTGTTTTGTCATCTCTCCTAGTCAAATTAAAGATGAATAGATAACAAGAGATAGACATGCGCTAATGGAAAGAACAATAGAGCATAGGAGCGAAGGAGGGTATAAGTCTTCCTAACTTCTACAGAATCCAAGAGAGGACCAAACAAGAGAATATATCAGAAAAACAAAAACTAGAATATGAGGATCGCGCCAAAGATGACTCACGGGAAGTCAATCTCAAGGCGGGTCTTGCCCTCCTGCAAACAATAGGCAAGGGACCTGGCAGCATCAGCCACAAGCACATCGTAGGACTTGGGCTTGTATACAGAAACCCCAGCCTTGAAGTTCGAATCCAACGACGATAACTCATCCTTAGGCTGCGCGTATCGCCGCTTTGGTAGCCGTCGGCTGCTTCCAGCGGCAATGGCGGCTTTTGAAATGGGCCAGCTGATAAAAGAAGAAGAAGAAGTGGAGACCGGACGCGGAAGAAGAGAAAAGGAACACAGAGGTGGAAGCGAACGACTCCGAGCAGATAGGTAAGTATGAGGTCGGTAGAGTGGAGTTTGGGAGGCCATTGGTCGCAGTAGCGTCGAGTGCTGAAAGCCCCCGACTATTTGGCGGTGTTTAGTAGCCCTATTTAATTGGATTTGATTTGCATATGTAAATACTAAATACTGCCAAACGATTAAAATATATCCTATATAGATTTTAAATTGCTATTTATCTTTGTTTTGATCTAAAATTTGAATTTATTATATTTTTGATTGATTTATGTGATTTAAAATCAAAAGTGTGTAGCAGAAGAGGAGGGAGCGAGGGAGGGGCGAGGAAGTCAATATTACTAGAAACTTATCTTGCTTCTTTTTTCTAGGCAGTATTGCCTTCTCTACCGACATCTAATTGTAATTTTTCTACTTCATTTTCATCGACAGGGTTAAATTTGTCACAAACCTCTAGATATGACTCCCTTGCTTCTTTTCATCAGTTGTTTCAAGCAATGTGGAAATGAAAAATAAGCATACTTTTATAACACGAGCCAAGTCAACCCTATTTGTGAAACCCTCACCTCCACCTTCATGAGCCACTCAAGTTTTTCTTTTTTGCCACTATTATCACATAAATCTAGCCCTCATCTCAGAAACCCCTGCAGGGGCGCTACCCCTTGACCCTGCAGGGGTACCCCTTGTCCCGGGGGCGCTTCCCCCGGAAATCCCTGCAGGGGTGCTGCCCCTTGACCTGCAGGTTGAACCTTGCCAGGGGGCACTGCCCTCTTACACCCCTGACATATATGCCAACAGTTATTTATAAGTTTGCCCCCCCTCCCCCCTCCTAAAAATTATGGTTGGTTCCACCCCTGCTTCCTCCTCCCTACTTTGATCGAGAAATCAAAATTGGAGGAGCCTCTCCTTGACAATTTCTCCCTCGTTCGACCGAGAGTTATTGACTATACATCTTCCTTCATTCCTTCTTCCATTATAATAGATGATGTGTTTGCTTCAGAATTAATTTATAAGCATTTAAATTTCGCTTGGGATAACTTACTGCTTTCTAAAGCAGTTTTTCGTAAAAAAAAAATCAGTTAAAGAAAGTTTTGTACTAAAAAGATTACATTGAAAAATAATAAAAAAAAAATTCCAAACAAAATCTTAGTAGTTCATCAAGCACTTGATCAATGATCATGAAGAAGATTGCAATATCCTTAGACATTAAACATTAAGAGATGTTTGATAACGATTAATTGGAAATGCTTGACGTCAGGGTAACATTTTATTGTTTGTTTTTATAAGTGGAAAGACCCTTATCCAAAATGAAGGATATTAAACATAAGAGATTCTCATAAGGTGTCAAACATGAGATGGCTTCAAGCACTCATTGTGGGTAATCATAGGCATCAATGTTAGCTGAGTGCTTGTTTTTTTGTCAAATTAAACTCATTTCAAGGTATTCTTTCTATGGTTGAGTTAATATCATCAGAAGGCCACAAAAGTCCAATTTGTAACTTTTTTCTCATACATGAAAACTATATTAAAATACATACTTGATTGAAGCATTTTATTTTGCCATCTCATTTATTTCGAAGTCAAACTAATTAATTGAAATCTATAATTCAAAAATATTTTTAATTATTTATTATATAAATAATTTTTGACAAATACAAATCATAACATTGGTTATTACGTCCGATCACCGGGCCTAGAAAATAGGTCTGAACATTCACTAAAAAGTTATCGCGTGGACTGCGTTTTACCTCGCTTGACTTAAGATTCCGTGTACATTCCACACGTCAAATTTTTAGTGAATATAAATAGATCCGATGACCAGACGTAATAATTTGCGCATAACATTGAGGCCGCTTAGAAGCCATTTTTACGAGTAAATCCCGCACGAGCTTTTGAGTCACTTGAGAAATTCATTCTCTTCCATTTTTGCTAATATATTTCATGTCTAATGATGAATAATTCCCGAGACGTGATAGTAGATTTCATATTACGGTTAAAGAATTTACTCATGTTGTATGAAAATTAAATTTTGATGCGCAGGCCTTCTTTTGAAATTGAAATAAAGATCAGTAACTTTAATTAAAAGAAAACACTAAGGTGCCTTTTCTTCGAATGGGGTTTTGTGTAAAATAAATTGAAAGTAAGAATTTTTCAAAGTCCATCTCTTTACAGGGAAGAAAATCAAAATATTTCATTAAGAATTTTGAGATGATTGTAATTTTTTTATAAAGATTATTATAAAGTTATTGTGATTTATTTTTTGAAAAGTGTTCTAAAAATTATTTTTTCAAGTATAAATTTTTTTTTAAATAATAAAAAACAATGATCAAATAAAAATTATTATTATGATTTAAAAAATAAAAATAAAAACTATTTCAACCAAACCTTATATTTGATAAATTCCAAAATCAATAAGGCTTCATTTGGAAAAACTTTCTTACTACTTTCTAAGTCAATTTTTTCTATACAAAAATCATAAAATATTCTAAATTCAATGAATTCACTTTATACCATATTTAGAATGCATTAGAATTCTAAGTACTTGCAATCAAACAGCTCCAAGAAAAGCATCAAACATTCAATAAATAGCATTTATTAGAGAAATAGGACCACCTTCTCCCTAGCACTAGCGTGCATGAAGAACTAGAGAGTCCCATACGGAAGGCAATATTTCAATAATAAATCAGTCCTAATAACTAAGTGCTCTCGGAACAACAGTGTGTTTCATCAATTAGTTCAAAAAGACAAAAAATTTCGATATCATCTTATAATTGACTGAAGCATAAGCTATCAGGCCAACCTCAAAAGTTTTCGGGATTCAAAATGGTCCATGTAAACACCTGGGAAGTAATTCTGATCCATCCCAAGCCAATTTTACCTTTAGCCTAGGAAGTTCATGATCACCAAATGGAGAACAAGGTTGCAAAGAACAAAATCTGCAAAAGCACGCTCTGGTGGGAGGTCCTGCAAGCAGTTTTGGAACGATTAATACTACAAAACTTGTATCTATGGACTATTGGATTGTAGACTACTTGTGCATGAGTCATGTGGGGTGTCAATATTGGGAGAAATTATTCTGTGCGGACACCGGACGGTCTGGAGACCAGCCAGAACACGCCACGTCATCCGGTACCGAGCAAAAAAATGACGTGGCACATTCTGGTTGGTCTCCGGGCACCGTCCGGTGTCCATAAAAAATAATTCGTATATGAAGATACCCAACACTTAAAGTTCAAGTTTTGATCAACCCTATAAGATTCGGGTTAAGTTGGATTTAGCTTAAGTGACAGAAGAATTATATTAGAGTACAGTCAAATTCAAGTCATCATGAAAGATTTTAAAAAAATTAGGTTAGATTAGGGCAACTAAAAACAATAAGACCCAATTATATGATTATTTTTTCAAGAGAAAACTACTTAAATTATAAAGTTTGTTTTTTTTCTTTTTTTCTGAATTCTCATGTCCAAATCTATTTTAAGTCGGGTTGATATTACCCTCACGAATTGAGTATTTTCATAACGATTCATTCAATAAAATGGTTAGATTATGATTGATTATATTCATACTGGACCTTTTGAGTCGGGTGGAATCTAATCTGTGAATCCGAATTGACACCCCTATTCATGACAGTATGACTCTGATCATTCCATCAAATCTGAAGACTTTTTTATCTTTTTTTGTGGGGCACCATAACATTAGTAAATAACAGATATAATTCTCAGAAACAAACTTGAAGAAAAAAAAAATACACAAGAGTGAGCTGATCAAACGCACATACCTTAAATTCCTTGTTTTCTTTGTTGACTTGAATGCGGAGGCAAACTACAATTTGACAAAAAAGATCACCACACGGCCGTAACAAGTAAGGATTCAGAAAGATCATTCAAATGAGGGAGAATGTCCTACCTGCAAGCACTGCAGTGCCTACACAAGAGAGCACGCCTGAGAGGAAAGAGTTGAAAGGAAACGATCCAACTATTCCCATGTAAACCACCTGTAGTATAGCAGCAAACAGACAAAGAACACCCACGCGAACAGACGTATGAGTTTAATATCATAGGAGAACCAAAATATTAAATAATTCTCAGAAAATCTCAGGTTCCATGTTATCATAAACCATTATTTAGTAAAATATAGTAAGGATCTTTCTCATAAGAGGATAATGTATGAACTACAAATATATAAGATCAAAGCCATTCGTTTAAGCTTAGAGCATATAGGCTTCTTTTGGGATGGCTTTTTTACTGCTGCTTAAAAAATTAAAATTTTTGTATTAAAAAATTGTTTTAAGAAGCAATAAAAAAGCCATCCCAAACGACGCAATAGTCGCATAGAACATTTCAGAACTTTAAAAATTGAACATCGATCTGTCACATCAAATTTCTCAATAATTAGTTCCAACTGCATGAGAAGATAATTATAACATCAAAACATAAAATTTCAAATGACTTGGAATAGTGAATGAAAAAATTAATATCATATTGATTTGGCCTATGGAACCCAACCTGGACCCCTTTCTAAAGAACGAACAAAAACAATCCGATTGATAATTATCTTGGAATTAGGCACTTAGCATACTTAGCTATCACCAACATCAACTGTCCAAAGTAACAAGCATCCTTAAGGTTGTTGGTCTCGAGCAAAAGGGGGAATCTAGGTCTTAACCTCACCTTCAAAATAAGGCTCAATGGATTCAAAGAACCAAAATAAGTGTTTTGAGTCTCAATTAGAAGGAATCAAAGAAGAAAACTGTGAAATCATTACAAATGGGTAATTTCATTGGTCCCACATGTCAAAAGCCAATGCAGTATGATAAAAAATGACATAAATACAACCTAAAATGGCCTACATAATTACTTGACACTTTTTCCTCGATCTATAAATAAAGTCATGAAATGCAGAAAAGGAGCAATCACCCAAAAATAAATGCAAAAAGTTGCATCACCAATTTTCTTAATAATTCCCAGAACTAATCTACTACTTAAGACATAATCAAGTCACCGTATTTTGTTACTTCTATTGAATTGGTGGGATGAATGAAAAAAGAAATCAGAAAGTACGTGGAGGTACCATCCTCACTTACACAACAAGAACTAATGCTTCCAATCTCATCATTTATGCCCGTAGGGGATTCATCATTCTTGCAATACATCCACTATCACTATTTGTTGACAGGACCATTGTATGCATTGCGAAGCTTCTATTGTTATATGCGGGCGAGCTACGTTGAATGTAAATCCTCCAGTGCCACTCGTAGACAGTTGCATGTACTATAGCTCTTCTACATTTGCTCGTAGATAGCATGTTGTGTACATGACGGATCTCCTACAGCAACACGCAAGTGTTTTCATTTGCTCAAATTCTTTTGTATTTGCCCTTATATGGCATGTTGAGTGTATAACTGTGTTCGCAGGAGGATCGTTGTATGCATTGCAAAACTTCTACCATCACCTCATTAACTCATAGGTCAGTTGTTGTATGCATGTCGAACCTCCTATAATTGCTTGTAGGTGCTTGTATTTATTGTGAATTCTTGATTCTTGCTTGTATATAGTGTGTGTATTTGTGTCCACAGTGTATTCAACATACTCACGGCATATCAACTGTTGTTATCTACAAATATATCATATCAGCCATCATCGCTCACAAGGGATGCTCATATTCGTCTACAAGTGAACTAACATTGATTGCAGGGATGTCGCAACATTCACTGCACAGTCTTCGTACTTCACCCATGAATTGCAACTATCATGCCTCTTCCACAAGCATGAGCATTGTACATCAATCAATTGTCATTCATAGGTGATTTATGTCCATTACAACTCCCTTATTCATGTACATCAACGAGTGATTAAATTCTTTGCACATTATTTATGATTCCCGAAAGGCAATTAGTTATACAGTTATTATGAATCTTTTGTCGCCTTCGTAGGTGATTATTTGTTTGGGAGTAAGTTGCATACTGAGATCTTGGTTCATCACAAGTCCCTATAGTTACACATTGATGTCCATTTGGAAGACCAACATTGCTAGTTATCATTTGCATTTTAGTTATGATTGTGCATTTTTCAAATTAATGTCTAGTTCACTATAATTTTGTTCGAGTTATGTTTCCTATTTATTATTCAAGTTTTGTTCCATGTTTTTTCGTTTAAGTCCCCTTCGCTGTCATTGCTTAAGTTTTGGTCCTTCATTCACTAGAAATTTCATCAGCCTCACGAAGTTTCCGCCCTTTAGGGAAAATTTTGGGAGTTGAGTCTTCCCACCACGCTACGAATAACATGTATGGCAGGCGTCAGGCGACACAGTGGCCGTGGTTCTTCAATCCCACCATGCTATGAAGAACGTGTATGGGTCTTCGAGGTACCTGTCAGAAAACGCAGTTTTCCCCGCATGCATGACAGCACATACTCGGGTACTTAGGGTTATCCCCGCCACACTACGAAGAGCATGTACAAGGCCTAACCGCCTTGTCACAAGCGCCGCACCGAGCTCCCTCCCATATATGGGTGGTCCCCCGGCGTGTCGCGAGCGTCAAAAACAGGGTTTGAGATTTTATTAGTTTCGAGCATTATAGCGAGGTAGCGTTGACGACAACAATGAGTACTTGCACACAAATTTTCTATTTTCCTCTTATGTCTCATTTCTTTCTCTTTTTTTTTTATCTTTTTATTCTCCTTTCTTTTTTTACATGATTTTGTGAAGTGGGATTTTACTGTAGTGAAGAAGAGGGAGCTGCTGTAGGTTGATTTGAACGAGTTTTATATGAAGCGAATGGTGGGCTGCTTTTAGTGGGGATTTGAGTGTGAGAGGACTGTAAGTGGAACTAAGGAATGAGGTGGTTTAGTTTAAGAAGTAGCTGAGGGAGTTGGATCAAAGGTGGAAGTCGGCACAATGGAATCTAGCTGTGGTATTCAGCAGTGGAAGAAATATGGTGTCATGGCTAGAGATCGGATGAGGATCGATCCTAATGTGAGGGGAAGATCGGGGCAGCTAGGGGATTTGGATTCACGTATAGGTTAAGGTGAACGGCCAGCTGGAGCTTGCGACTGTGTGCGAGCAGATCAATCAAGTTGATTTGGTCGGGAGTCGAGCACAGTAACGAGATTGGGAGTATAGGGAGGTTGGTGTGTGGCTATGAGATCGAAGGACACTGTATTGAAGTGGATTGGTTGTCGACTGAAGGGGAAGACAGGTGAGGCTCGGTCGTTTTGAAGGACTAGACGACGAGATCGGAAGGACTGTGGAGAGGAAGAATCGAGCGTGTACAGAAGCTCGGTCGAGTGTAGCTGTGTCGACGGGAGTGAGGAAACAGGTCGAGGGAAGTGGAGATCAAACGTGGAAGTCGAAGGTCTCATGTGCATCGAAGAAGACGAAACAGGAGGTCGCTCGGCCTCCATTTATCGGCGGAAGCAAAGCTCGATCGAGGCGAGCGAATCCTGCACTGTCCCAACATCAATCAGCAGGAGTTTTCAGTGGGATTTTAGCAGAAATCCCGAAAATTTATGCAGGACTTTGATAGAACATCCAAGGTAAGATTTTTTGGATGGATTTTTTTATTAGTTGAAATTCTATTAAATGATGATAATAATAATAAGAATAAGAATAAGAATATAATAATAATCATTATTATTATTATTATTGAGACATAAAAAATGAAACAAAATTTTGGATTCCTCAAAATTTGTGTGTCGCTACCTCGATTTGCGCCCATTTTCTTGAAATTTGTGTATTATGCGTTGGGATGCACACCGATTTCCTCGCGCGATTTTCGTTGAGCAAAATTATAGTCTATTTTAAATGACCCCGACGTTTCGATCTCAACGACGAAGTCCGTATTGCGATCGACATCATTTGGGCAGCGCCGCACGTCAATTTCGGCTGTCAGCTGTTGATTTCGATCGCTTTCACCCGATTTGACTGCGAGGGGGCTCTCTTGGTCAAATTCGGAGCCATGATAGCAACGATGTAGCCTGTTCAACGATTGGAGGTTGTTTGACCACTTAAGTGACGTGTCGCATCTGCCGATTGTCACTTAAGTCACCGATTTTCATTCTTTTCGCGTGTTTTTAATGTATGGGTCAGCAGACCTCTCTTATTGCTTCACTTAGCTAGCTACTCGACCAAACTGATCTCAGCTTCATTATAAATTCCCTATAATTCACTTGTCTTGTTACAAACTCATATCATCATAATTATTCAAGATATGATCATTATGACTATCACTACAATAATATGTAAAAAAACACTATCATATTCTTATCATGATACTAGGTCGAGATTTTAGCTCGAAGATATATATGTATATATATATATATATATGTATATATATATATATATATGTATATATATATATATATATGTATATATATATATATATATGTATATATATATATATATGTATATGTATGTGCAGACATAAGTATATGTGTATTATTAATATATCAAAATCGAATTAGTTCAATCCACAAGCCAATTTTGAGCAAGCATATATGTGTTTGAGTCATGTCAATATCAGCTCAAAATCGAACGGTTCTCACCTCTAATGAAGTCTACGAGTCCAAACCTTAATAACATCATTTGGATGAATCATATATTTTATATATTAAATATTATAATCATTACAAATCATATCTTAGTTTATGTAAAAGATTGTGCATCTCCTCATCATCCTTAAATAATTTCTAGCGGGCTCAAAATCGATTCAATTCGTCTCCTCTTAGATCTCATCGATAGATTTATATTCTGATGCATATTCTAACCAACCAAGGACTCTTGATGATAAGCTTTATGTTTCATTTATAAGCTTACATGTTGCTTGTTAGAATTGTTAAATTCTTCTCCACCTATCCATTTAATGATCCAATTCCAAAAACCCCACTTGCATGACAATGTTATCCAATCTCAGAAAACTACAATTATCCCACTATCCTATGAGCAACACAAATTCCACTAACCAATCACACCCATATTGATGGCAATGTTGAGTTTGAT